GAGTAGAAGGGAGAGTCTTGTTTGAATTTCAGACAAAATAACATGGCAATATAAAATGTTTAAAATTTGTTTAATAGCTGAACGTTTCGCCTCTTGGGCTTCCTCATGAGCAACTGAGAGAAAAACTAAATGTGTGCTGTATACTAGCAGGGAAATAGGCCTAACAAAGAAGAGTCTAAGATTACGTGTGGTTAGATGCGAGAGGGAAGTGACTCAGAGCGAGCAAGGCCAATTATAAAGAAACTGATACTAGTCTAGAAAGAGTACCAAAGAATTTTATCACTACGAGAGGCTGACAGGAAGTTAATTGTGTGAACGTGGGGTGAACGAAGGAAATGTTTGGGCGTACTTTATAGAGACATCCCATCATCATCATCATCATCATCATCATCATCATCATCATCTTCTTCTTCTTTTCTCAACCTGCCCATCTGACTGTCTGTTCTCCTTGTGGTGACAGGTAAAGATCCTCAATGACAAGATGAAGGAGATGACAGAACAGCATGGGGACCTGGTCAAGAGCAATGAGGAACAGAAGAAGAAGAAAGAGGAAGAAAGGTGAGAGATGAAATTCTGGGCTCACAGGGAAAAGATCCGGATTTGTGTTGATTATTTTTACTTATGTATGTGTTTTACGCCTACATTGACACAACTTAGATAATTGGTCGCTTTTAAGCACAAGGCGGCTATCCCGAAAAATGCTGTTTTGAGAAAATTGAAGGTAAAGATTTTGCCCCTTGTTCAGTTTCTTTAAAGGTCAAAGAGAGTTTTCTCTACAACAAAACAATTAATATACACAGCAGTGAAACCAAACTTCTCCTATAGGTAGGACAATGCCCACTTTTGGTGTTGGTCAAGATTTCTGGAAACCCCCAAAATTGGGTTAGCCCATTTGTCCTTAAAAGCGACCAATTTAGAAGGCTGGCTGTTTGTGACATCTCCTATTAGGAAAAACTGGTTTGAGAAGGGTACAGGAAAGAAAGCAATACGTATAATAATATACGAGAGATATACGAATAGAATTCTCCCCACCCCGGAATGGAACTCACGTTTTCTGTTTGCGACATCGGAGAACATAACCGCTACACCACAGACGCTGGTAGGAGAAGAAGTGGACTATGTCGCATTATTATTATTATTTTTATTGTTATTATTA